TGGCACATGAAGCCAGTGCTAAAAATCCTACGAAAAATAAACATCATGTAAAAACAAAAAGTTTGCGATCACCAACTCAATTATTTAAATTCAGTTTCAAATTGCTTGACCAATCATTTGTCAAAAAATCATTTACTACGTCCTGGAAAACCAATTCGTCCGGGTGGACCTGTTTGCCCTCTAGGTCCGGGTAGACCCTGTGGACCCTGTGGACCCGGTGGACCTGGTTGCCCTGTCGATCCGGAAAAACCTGGTTGTCCTGTCGGTCCGGGAAAACCTGTTTGCCCTCTAGGTCCGGGTAGACCCTGTGGACCTGTAGCTCCCATTGCACCAGTCGCACCCGTAAATCCAAAGTAGCCTGTAGCTCCGGTACTTCCCGTGGGCCCAATGTCCCCTCGTACGTAATCTGAAAATGTTTTGTTGTTTTTGTGTGTTTTGTTGGACTGTTTGAGCGTTGTTTGTTGTTCGTATGTGATTTGTGTTGTTTTTTGCTGTTTGTATGTTATTTGTGTGTTTTCATGTTGTTGTTGCTGCTGTATTTATTGTCTGTTTTGTTGTTGTTGCTGGCTGGTTGGCAATTAAATAATAAATTAATAATAACAAAGAATAAATAAACAGCAGAACAACACTTAAACAATACAAAAATAACAGCAAAGTAACAAAATAAAAATAATAAACATAGGAAAAAAATTTTCCTTACAAACGGTAACATTGTGATTGAGAAAATATGCCAATTCATTTATCTTCTCATCCAGCATCATCAGATCATTCTCAACCAAGTCCAAAATTGACTTCAACTCAACTTTCTCAGAACTTCTCAAATCCACATAATCATTCAGTTCTTCATAAATCTGCATATCGCAATCTGAGATGCTGACGTCTCCATTTTTGTAGTCGTAGAAGTCAGCGTCATCATGAACACTGAATAAACTTTGAGAGTAAGCAAGTTGCGGTAATAGTGAAGTGAGAACGATGATGCTGATAATGATGACGATGGTGGTATGATGGTGGTGGGGAGGATTTTTGGGCAGTAGTAGTAGTAGTTGTTGTTGTAGTACCATTTTTTGGGGCTATCAGACTTCAATTGGATGTTTATTAATGTCTGAGGAATTATTGTCTGGTGTAAGTAAATTTATAATAATAATTATTAATTTATTATAAATTTATTATTATTATTTTTATTTATTAAAAATCAACACATTACATACAATAAAATACACAAAAATACGGACTTAACATACAGAGCAGTGGCCAAAATACAAAATATAATACAGAGCGATATATTTTATGCTGAATTGTTTATATTAGCTGTATTAATGACATTCAATGTGCCTTTCAGAGACTTCCTTACTTGGGCAAACTTAACACTTTT